CAGAAGCTGAAGAAATCAAAAATAGAGAAGTGCTAATAAAAGGACTTATGAAGGTAAAAGTAGAAAAGAAACTTGAATGACTCTTAAGTAAGCAGACAACACAGAAGTGCATGAATATAGCAATGAGAACAGTGCGGAACACCTTTTATGACCAAGTATGAAGAGTCTGATGTGAGAAAACACAAGACTAGAAAAAGAAAAATAATATAACAAACAAGATGTTCGTACAAAAAAAAAATAAATAAAGAGAAGAGAAGAAATCAACAAACAAGAGAAGAAGAAAAGGAAAGAAAAATAGAAAAAGTGAACCAAATAAAGAAAGAAGCTTTGAAGACAATCAATATGCTTATTACAGAAGAAAAGAGGCCCTTCTGGTATGGCTTTAAGTAGTTAGACAAGCAGTCTATCTCTAACTGAGATAATGCAGCAGGTTGCACTTAGGTACCATAAGGGCGGCTGAGTGATGCTAGACTTAGACATTGAGAAATTCTATATAATTGTATATGTATATAGTTTTAAGAATCTTAATAAAATATTAGCATAACTGCTTAAGGTTAAAAAAAAAAAAAAAATTTAACAAACTAAAAAAACCTATTTATAAATATTTATATAACTATTATTATATATGGGAGCTCATCAGTAAAAAAGGAGTAAAAAGTTTTTATCACTTTTTTTTTAAATTTTAAATTAAAATAGTTTAATAACTACTAAATTAAATTAAATAAAATTTTTTTTATTTAATATTATAACTGTATATAATTAAAATATAAAAAAAATTATTAAATTTAGTTTAGTAGTTATTGAAATATTTTAATTCAAAGTTTAAAAAACTTTTACTTAAAAACTTTTTACTCCTTTTTTATTGACGAGCTCCCATATATAGTTTAAAAAATAATAATAAAAATAATATAAATTTATTTAATTTATATTATTTTAGTTTTAAATTTAAACAACTTTTTAAACATATACAAATTTTAATTGTTTTTAAATTTAATCTATATCTTTTAAAAAAAATTAAATCTGAACTATTAAAAAATATATATTTAATAGAAATACTTGTTTCTAATTATATATTATAATAAAAAGTAAATATTATAAATAAATATATTCAAAATTTTGAACAACTCTTTTTGACGATCACCTGGACCAAGTTGGCACTAAAAGTAGATTGAAGACTTTGGCTCCAAAGTGAATAATATTCTTAGTTTTATATTAAGTAAACTTGTTGTTGACTAAGCTCAAGTACATAATATACTGAAGAGCAGGCAAAACTTGAATAGTTTTTGCTTTAGGTTAAGCTTTTTGTTTGGTAGACTCTCTTGCATATTTAACATTTAAACTGAAAGGATATTCTGGAAGCAAGTAGAGACAAAATCAGTTCTCTGGTTAAGAATATTAAAAGCAAAAAAAAAAAAGAACAACTAGAAAAACTCTCTTTAACTTGGACCTTTGCAACAATGATATACTTTTTTTTTATCTTTTTTTTGGTTTCTTTTTTTTGAAAAGTGAGGATTTGGCTCATTCCCATCGAAAAATCAACATTGTATATCACTTTTTTTTGTAGTTATATGCTTGTTTGGACATGGCAAATAAGGAACACAACAAATACATAAGTTGGCCAATCATGTGAAGCAGATTGGAAAAGGATTTAATTTGAAAAAACCAAAAATATATTGAGATATATATATTTTGAGGCTATATGCATAATATTTTTTAAAAAAATAGTTACAGGAGTTTATAAAAAATTGGACTGCTTAAGTGCACTTCAAATCTTGGCATAGTACCCTACTTACTTGAAGAATTCTCCTATATGGAAAGTGCCCAGCTCGAATGCTATCCTACAAGTAAATACAGTTTTTATTCTGATTAAGAGTATCTAGTTTTTAAAGAATAGCTATAGTTTATAAAATAATAAAAACATTGTAGTGAGCAGCAATCAAGAATAGAGTTTATCCTATTAGCAAGTTTCCTTTTTTATTCTTCTTATAGATTAGTTTTGTTTTTTTTGTTAGTTTTATTTTTCTCCTTATTTTCATTCCCCCCTTCTCCAATTTTAAAATTATTATTATTTTTTGTTTTTCTCTTTTCTATAAAAAGATGTCTTTAGATTGGCAGTATTCTATTGTGGAGCAGAGTCAGACAAGTTGTAATTTCTAGTCCTAACTGAATTAGTATAGCAGGTTGCATTTAGATACTGTTTGGATGGCCAGATGATGATAGACTTATAAGTTAAATGATATTCTGTATTTATATATATGGCTACAAATAGTTTAATAAAGTACTATTATGACTGCTTAAGAGAAAAAAAATTATTATAAATAAAATAATATATAATATTTTTAGTTTATTAAAATAATTTAATTTTTAAAAATATTTTTTACTTGGTATTGCTAAAAAATCTTTAGTCATTTTTGCTAAATTTAACTAATCTTTTTTATAAAACTATATAAGTTAATTATTTTATTTAATTAAATAATTTTTATTAAAATAATAAATATATAATATAAATTTTATATATATATATAGTGCGAACAACTTAATTACATCCAAAACTTCAAAATGCAAAGGCTTTTTAACTAAATATAAAACTAGCAAAAATAAATATGTAGTTAAATAGCCTTTAATTTATACTACAAAGTTACATATTTTTTTTGCTCACTATATTATTAAATTTTTTTGTAGTTAGGGTTTTATTAGAGCCAATTTTAATAGTAATTGTCAGATTTTTAGCATATGTGAAATCATATGAAACTATCTAATTGGTGACTATTATTGCACATGATTGAACATAATTGGCTGCATGTGATTCATATTACCAAAGATCATCACCAAGACTTTTGTAAAAGCATTTTCCATTATACAATATAATTTCAACCTATTTTTATCCTTTTTGACAGTTATTAGGAATCTCTTCGGAAAAGAAGTAAAGTCATTGCTTTGAAACAAGAAGCTATGATTTACAAGTTCAAACATCAAGAAATTTGGACTCAAGCCCAAGAATGTAATATGTCAAATAATTGAATTATAATATACTGTCAACTATCTATATAATGAAAATCTTGACTGAGAACAAATCTCTGTTATATGACTTTTTTATTATTATTCTGTTATAACCATTATAAATTATTTATATATTAAAGATTTGGTTCTTTGCAATTGGTCTGTTAAACTGGTGAATCTGGTCTAGAGGTGTCCATTATATCGGTAGTTGACAGTATTTGCCATGATTGCTAATTCACTTTGAAAACCTATATTTAAGCAGTACAGTATAAAATTCATAAGAAAATCTAGGAAATCCATTAAAAGAAGTACAAAGTAAAGTGTTTAAGGATTATAGAATGAGAATAGATAGAATACCTTGAAAAATGTAGACCCCAGTCCCAGAAAGAAGCAAGAATTAGTAGAATTAAAAGAACACCAATGTTTACTTTGTAAAACTTACAGGAGAGACTATTAATGTTATGTAATTGATCCTTTACCTGGTTTGCAATACATAAAAAAATTATCTTACAATACCAGATCATTTATTTTATTATATAATAAAAATAGTACTGAATTATAATCATAACATGTACTAGTGGAATGATTTGGCATTATAAAATAATTTTTTTATATGTTGTACAGTCTTTTTTGCATCACTTAAAAATGAAAATATTATGCATTACATAAGTACTGAATGCAAAAACAATTGATTAAAAGGAATCAAGACAGTTGAGGTGAGTTTAGTTTTTGAAAAACTTTTATTAGGCATTGAACTTATTGTATTGAAGTAAAATGATTTTTTTTAATAATCTAATGTCTATATTATTTAACATGTGTAGAATTTATTAAGTAGTTATGTTTTAGTATAGATATGTGTTACTGTATTACTGTATTACTGTTTAATGAACATTATAGAGCAAATGTGATAATGCAAAAATTGTAATAGTTCAAAAGAAAAGCTATTATTTAAAAAGTTATAATTAATAAAGAGTAAAGTTTCATAAGTGGTTTCTAATTTGGTGAATACAAATATGGGTAACTAAAGTAATTTTTGGTGTTGCCCAATTAATAATATATCTACTTAATTGAGGTGACTAAGTATGTACATATAAGTACTGTTATTTATATTAGTCTTTAACATTAAAGATAATATGCAAAAAAAAAAAATACAACAGTCTTGGCTGCATAAGCAGCCAATACAATTGTATTTTCGCAATATATACATCCAATCGCTCAGGATATAGCTATTACTATATAATATTTTAAGCTTTGCTGGTGTATACATACCCTTATATGAACTAATCTATTATATTCATCAGTGCTCTTATATAAACTAATCACATGCATATTAAAATTTTTTTATTTAAAGTTGACCAATTTATTAATTGATAATAAAAAAGAAGTACAGAAATAAAAATTCTTTACTTTTATTGATTTTCATTTTTTAATACATTTGTTTTTTTTTAAATTTAATTTTATATATTTTTTATTTTATATTATTTTTTATTATTTTTTTTTAGTTTACTGATTAACATCACCAAATTCTTCTAAAACACTTGTAGGAACACAGTGATGTGATCGATACCATTTTACTGCAAAAACAGCTGCCTTACCTGTAAGTCCAAGTTTATAAGCACTCATGTAGCATTCATAATGACGTGCAAATTGGTGAATTTTCGTTAGGCTAACAAATTCCAATGCATATAGTACAACTTCCTGAAGGCTCTTGAACATGTAGTCACAATGGAGGCATGAATACCTTTTTGTTTCTGCCCAGAATAACTCAATATAATTAAGTTCGCAATGGAACTTTGGATAAAACATACACATATGGCCTGCTGCTTCAATGATCTAAAAAAATTATTAACATTAATAAGTTAAATTATTAACAATTTTTTTTTATTATACAGCAACTTACCTCTTGTAGATGTGATTTTTGAAATGCAAAGTTAGGCTAGGCAGAAAGAATGCATGTTGTGCAACACTTCAGATTAATTGGATCTGGATTATTTTGTTTACACACATCACATTTTCTTATCAAGCTCAGTATTCACAATCCACGCTTATGAATAACTTATCGAATACCTTTGGGTTTTACTACACTATCGATATCTGTGAATATCATGATATGTATCGAGCTATTAGGTTTTTGACCATCACAGAGAAGAGGTTGTTTACTACCATCCTTCATGTTCATTCTTGTAACCACTAATGCATTATCAGCAAATGCATTATAGTTGCAACTATTATCAAACAAAAACAAAACAACCTTTTCCGAGTAAGTTTGTTCAAATATTGGAATTGCATGTTCACTTACCTGCTTAATGAGATCTTTACTTGTCCACTAGCCATTATAATTTGTACCAGCATGCATGACAACACAGGTTTCAGTATATATAAGCTGCTCATCATCAGGTAACAAATCATTAATAGCACACTTCTCCTCTGAAAATTGAAGACACCCGATAGATTCACAAATAAAGTCACTTACATAGATACTAAGATCTTGCAACTTTTGATGAAGTTGGCTTTCATCTTCTGGACCCCAGGCCTTAACAGCACCATCCTTGGCATAAAATAACGACTCATCCTGGGTAATAGGAACAATCTCAGGTAAAAGTAAAAATAGAATAATCTGATTCAAATTTTCATCTTCATAAATAGCTATTCTTTTTCGTAATTCTGCAAATTTCTGCAAAAATTTATGCCAATATGCTATTACATCCTCATGTTTGTGACCATCAAAATATATATTTTTTGAATGATCTTTATATTGCCAACCAAGCCTATGCAACTATTCACATGCTGTTGTATGTGAAATGGTTGTCTTTTCTTCTATTCCAAGAGCAGGTATAACCTCATTCTTAATGAATTTTACAAATTCAGTAATCTTCAATGTAAATTTATATGTATGCAAATATTCAGTAACTTATAATTTAAAATCTTTATGAAGAAGAAGAGATCTAATCTTTGCATGATGACCACGTTTAGATGTAATAATCACATCTTTATTTAGCCACTAGTTTGCTCAAGAGTGAATGAGCTGTGCATGTCATGATCCTTTGCCCAAGCTCTGAGAAAGAAATATACTTGCATTCATCTTGCTAAATTCTTGATTCTAAATCAGATTAAGATATTGACTCACCATCCTAAGTCACAAATCATCACTCTTATTTTTTAACAATAAATCTAAAGATCCTAATGTAAATTTACTATTATCATCATCGCTACTATTGTATGTGTCATCAAATGTAAAATTATAATTTTCTGTATATGACTTAGGAACTTCAACATTCTTCAAGGGAAACATATTAGTAATCTTTTTAGAACCTGAAGCTGCTTTTTTCCAATATGCTCTCTTGTTGTGCAATGTTGATTCTGCATCATCTTTATATATTGGTCTATGCGAACTTGTAATCCATATTTTTGTCTTTGCATTTTCAACTAATTGCTTCAGTGTATTTTGTTGCAGCCCTTGTAGTTGATCCATGATGTCTTTACTATCAAACCGATTTTCCTCACCTTCTATCTAAAAAGTACTGAAACATTTATCACATTTATCAGGTTTAGCATCTGACGGCTCGTCAGAGTTTTTTATTTGCATTTCACTAACAACTTCCTCATATTCGATGGGTTCAGGCTCTAATTCTTCAACTATCCTAGATTCTAATTCTTTAACTAGTTCTGACTCTAATTCCTTATCAGAATTTTTTGCTTGCTTCTAACGTTTTCTAATAGCTTCTAATGATTGTCTTGCACGTTTACTTCTTTTCAGCATTGAAATACTGTTAAATTTAAAAATATCTAAAATATTAGTTATAATAAGTTGTATTTGTAGCTAGTTTAATAGCTCAAAAACAAATCAATTATGAAAAATTATCTAAAACTTAAAAAAAAAAAAATTTGAGAAAGTAATTAAATACTTATGAAAGATGCCAAAGTTAGTACATAATTAGACGATCATTTGATTTTCAGGGGGGTTGTTTAAATTAATGATTTATTGACAATCTTTTGTGAACTATTTTCTAATTTGGCTAATTCTTCCAAACTTAATTTTTTACTCTTTCTCACTTTACAAAAGAATAAAAGGAAAAAGAACCACATATATTTTTTTAAATGCATATTATATTTTTTATACAAATTAATATAAGTGACAGGCAAAGAAAACCAGAATATCTAAAAATAGATTTTTTTATACAAAGAAGTACGGACTTTAATACACACAAAAAAATTTGATCCAGAGCTAACTCTCTTTCAATTACATGTTTTACTGATAACTTTTTAAAATACCACATTTCTTTGTATAAAAAAAACTATTTTTAGATATCCCGGTTTTCTCTGCCCATCACTTATATAATATTTAAGGATCTATAGTTTGTTATACTAAAGCTCATTGTAATAAGATTCATAATATGTATATAAAGTTTTAAACACTTGTTACTAATTCTATTCTTACATATTAGCATTCTTTATATTTTAAAAT